AAGAATTTATATCTTTGGATCTTAAGTAACTGATGCCAAATGATCTGAGGTCATGCAAAAGATTCCAAACATTAACACTGTATAAATTAGCAAGTCAATTCCACAGATAGGCATCCTTTCCAATTCAGCTGGATAACAAGTAAACATCACTTACTCCCCATTTATCACTAGTTGTTTCAGAAGATTATCATCTGCTGAGTTTTACTGGGAAGGATCCCAGTGCTCAGACTCCATGCAGGTCACTGCAGCAATTCTGACTGCTGCTGTGCCACTCTCCTCCTCCCACATCACTCACAGACACAAAGATGCTTTCTTCCTATATGTGGATACAGCACTAAGCTCCCTCAGGATGTTTGCATTGGTATTCCCCTTATACGTGCCAGGACACTGTATCAGCAGGAGATCACTCCTCACTGCAAAGATGGATTTCCAGGCTCAGAGATGGCTGTGTGCAGGAGGCAGCATTCCTTCTTTTTAACAGCCAAACCTTTTTTCCATGTGGAAGAGGCAGCAAAATGAACGACATTTGCATTCCTCAAGGATTTGCTTGATGGAGTCATAGAATCATAGACTGGCCTGGGTTGAAAAGGACCACAATGATCATCTAGTTTCAACCCCCCTGCTATGTGTAGGGTCGCCAACCAGCAGACCAGGCTGCCCAGAGCCACATCCAGCCTGGCCTTGAATGCCTCCAAGGATGGGGCATCCACAGCCTCCTTGGGCAACCTGTGCCAGTGCGTCACCACCCTCTGTGTGAAAAACTTCCTCCTAATATCTAACCTAAACCTCCCCTGTCTCAGTTTAAGCCCATTCCCCTTTGTCCTATCACTATCCACCCTTATAAATAGCCGTTCCCCCTCCTATATATATACTCCCTTCAAGTACTGGAAGGCCACAATGAGGACTCCCTGGAGCCTTCTCTTCTCCAAGCTAAACAAGCCCAGTTCCCTCAACCTTTCCTCACAGAAGAGGTGCTCCAGCTCTGATCATCTTAGTGGCCCTCCTCTGGACCCACTCTAAGAGCTCCATGTCCTTCCTGTACTGGGGGCCCCAGGCCTGGATGCAGTACTGCAGATGGGGCCTCACAAGAGCCGAACAGAGGGAACAATCATCTCCCTTTCCCTGCTGGCCACCCCTTTTTTAATGCAGCCCAGAGCACAGTTGGCCTTCTGGGCTGCAAGCACACACTGCTGGCTCATGTCCAGCTTCTTGTCCACCAGGACCCCCAAGTCCTTTTCTGCAGGGCTGCTCTCAAGGAGATCTTCCCGCAGTTTGTATAAATACCTGGGATTACCCTGCACTTGGCCTTATTGAACCTCATTAGGTTTTCGTGGGCCCACTTCTCCAGCCTGCCCCTGGGACAAAGCCCTGGCAGGAAGAAGGCTGGTTAATATTCAAGGATAACCTCCTTCAAGCCCAACAGCAGTCTATCCCAGCAAGTAGGAAGTCAGACAAAAGTGCCAAAATGCCTGTGTGCCTAAACACAGAGCTCCTGGCTCTCAGGAACAAAAAGGAAGCCAACAAGGGGTGGAAGTAAGGATTCTTCTCCACTTGAGAGGAATATGGAGACATTGTCCAAGCATCCAGGGAGGAAATTAAGAAAGGTAGAGAGCCCAAATGGAATTGAATCTGGTCAGGAATGTCAAAGGCAACAAAGACGTGCTTCTCTAAGTACATAGGTGCCAAAGAGAAGACTACGGAAAATGTGGACCTGTTGATAAACAAGACAGGGAACCTGCTTACACAGGGCAGGAAAAGAATGTGGTATAAAATATCTTATTTGCCTCAATTTTTACTAGCAAGATCTGCCTTCAGAAATTCCAGGTTGCAGAGACCTGGCCTGGAGAAGAGAATGCTGAGCAGGGTCTCATCAATGTATGGAAATACCTGAAGGCAAAGCACAGAGAAGACAGAGACAGGCTTTTTCAGCCATGACAGAACAAAGGCAAAGGGCACAAACTGAAACAAAGGAGCATCTGTTTGAACATCAGGAAACACTTGTACTGCATGGGTGATAGAGCACAGCACAGGTTGCAGAAAGCTTGTGGGGTCTCTGCTTGGAGATCCTCAGAACCTATCTAGACATAGTCCTGGGCAACCCACTCTGGGTGTCCTTGCTTGACCATGGGGATTGGACAAGATGGATCCAGAGATCCCTTCCAACCTCTGGTCATCCTGTGATCTGGGTTTTAAAAATTATAATGTGTTGTTCATGGTAAACTACCAGATTAGGACTGATGAATTCCTGTTGTATACCAGAGGCAGAAGCTGAAAGCAGTTGTAAATTCATCTGAAACTGTTCAGTGCACCTAGAAGAAGATCCTTTCTAATTCTGAGCACACCAGCTTTAGCTCAAGGCTACCTAGTCCAATAAGACAAAGAACAGACCAGCAAAATGCACTGTCTCAGCTACTGAGCTGATATACAGCACAGATCTCCAAATAAATTTTTATGGGGCTGCACAGGGAAGAAGTTAATCATCTCTGGCCAGAAGCAGAACTAGTAGTGGTAAGATGTGCATGGTTTCTCTTTTACTTTTGATGATATTTTGAAAAAAAAAAGATTGTAAGAAAATTTCTCCAATGTTTCTCCTGCTTTTCTCTTATCTTCTGCTACCGCAGGCCAGGAAGCAGGAGACAAAGGGAAAATACTCCCCAGTGTTTCTTCTCCCCTTCTCACATAAAGATACTGTGGGCAAGAGTGGCACAAGTGCAGCTGCTAGTGCTCTACGTGCATACAAATAAGGCATAAGAGGTGCCAGGTAACAAGAAGCACTAGTACAGACTAACTGCTTTGTACACACTGGCTCTATGACACCAAGACTGGCATGAATCCTCCAGAAACCTGAGCATAGAATTCAGTGAACATCTAACTTCTTCAAGGACCTGCTGTGCTGGAATCTGGTTTCAGTTTTCAGAATTAAAACAGAAATCTAGTGAAAGGCTATAGAATCACCTGTGCCCAAGACACCTTCCAGCTCCACTTCTTCCTCCTCTTACCACTATCTCTGTATGCTGATGCCATTACAGCTGGAGTGAGACCACCTACATTACAAATAGAAAGGTCTCCCTCGCTCAACTTTGTTAACTCTCTCCTACTGTACTGCATCTTACTGCATAGTCTTAGGTGGAACATGCTAAACAGAATGAGCACTGTGGAAATAAGTGCTCCATTTTACCCTTCTTTTCCCTGGCTGTGCTTTTTTTTCACAAGGTTGCTAGGATTTCCTTACATGATCTTGAAGGAGCTTTTCAAAAAGACAAAGATAGATAGGACGGAACTGTGACACCTATGAGCAGGTTTGGCTTGCAAATTCCTAACTGAATAGGCTCAGCAGTAAAGCTTTAGGGAAATCCAAATCATCCTCTGTAATACTATCAGCCAACTACTTTTGTCCTGAAGCTGATTTATGTTTTGTGACCCTGACCTTTTGTCCAAGGTCTACAACCAGAAATAAGCTGGTTACGCTGTTACATGTGTTCTTCTGTGTCTCGTCGCACCTTGCAACACCATATTGTCGTGTTTACCTATTTCACATGAAAACATTTTACTGAGGAGCCTCTTCTGAAATTCGCAGGCAATCAGGTTTTGCTTTATCATCTATTTCAGTTACACTTCCAATTTGAAATAAGCCTAAAAACTACAGCGCTCTTCTCCTGAGCCAGTCAATTCTGCAAATAGTACAGACACGCAGACTGTGTGTGTGTACACATACATACCTACGCATGTATATATAGGTGTGTGATGTACATGTAATATCATCTATTACCATTTTAAAATACTAAATTCTGTATTCTTTTCACTACAAAACACACAAGTTCTTTGACAGGTTCGCATAGTCTAAACAGACAAAACTTAAAACCTCAACGAAGACTCTCTCAGTGTTTTTAGAAATTATTTAACCTTTTACTCAGACTCAGCTAAGGCCTCACAATAAACCTAAATGTTAAGCAGGGAATGGAGAAAGAGTGATTGCCTTCTGCAAAGGGGTTGAGAAGGAATTTCAAGCATGAAGATAAAAATCAAAAGAAAATGGGAAAACAAGGGAAAGCAGAAAGCCAGAACATATTCATTAAGTATTTCAGTGAACATTTTCTGACTTCCTGTAGTGTAACATAACTGCAGTAATGTTTATTTGCTAAAACAGGAAGTTCAGATCTCTAATTTAAGAACTTCCACACTAAAATTTTGCATACGTAGAGGGCCAAAACTAAAATACGCACTGACATGCTTAAATTGCGAGTAAACCCACAGAAACCAGTGAGGTTGCAGATCTCAAACATGATTATTTACTTTAATGCTTTGTAGTCATTGACTCAATCTGACCTATATACCATCTCAGTACGTAATTCTTGCGGCTTGTGCACATCAAGCCTCCCAAGCACTGTCAGGTTTGTTAGCTGAGGTCTTAGAAACACAAAAGCTGGATCGTCAAACACACACGTTTCTGGCTTTATCTCATCAAGCAGCTCAATCTCCCTAGCAGACTCCGAGGATCCTTCCGGCAACACCTTCATCTAACTCCTTTAAGAGAGAAATTGTTGAAGTGCACTTGCTGGGATATGACAGACCAAGCCAAATCACGAATGCGTGTGGCGAGTTTAGGCTGGCAACGAGCTGCAGCCTTCTCTAAAATACACGTGGCACTAACGCACCAACAATTTCCCATCGCGCTGCCGCACACCCTGACAGCAGAGAGACGGCTGAAATGACCCCGGATGCCGCACAGCGCTGAGGCTGGCACAAAAGCAAAACGATGTGCTGCCTCATAAGCAGCCCGTGCCAGTCGGTGATTTACACGGGCCGACCACATTTACCTTCTCGTTTGGGGCGGATTGTGGTTTGTGAAAGTCGCTTAAATGTCCCAGCAGCACAGAGAAGAAAGCTTATTTTTCTTATTTCCCAGAATCCTTAAGCACAGCAACCTACACAAACCAACACAGTTTCGACACTTAACTCTTCTAATACACCCAGCAGCTGCTCTGCAGCCCCGCAGTCAGAGCACGTGCCCTGCCCGGCTGACGCGCTTAGCCTCCCTCTCCGTGGGCACAACCGGCCTCACTTTGTCGGTCATTCTTCCTGCAGCCTCAGATAACATTCCAAATCTCGTCCTATGAAAGGGATAATTAAACAACCAGGCTTGACCAAACTAAATAAATGAAGCCGAATGCTGGCTTCCCTAAGAATAACTGCTGAACTGACTTGTACGTTCAGGGCTTTTTCTAGGAGAAAAGACAGGGCGCCGCACTGACATTTATGTCCTCCTCCTTAAGGCAGAGCTTAAGCAGAGGCTGCCGCGAGTTCCCTCAGCACCAGCTTTTATTATTATCACAGGTATTTAACATTTTAATTAACGACGTTGGCACAGCGAGTAGGAAGGCACCCTCGGCACGAGCCAGAGGCACGGCAAGCGTAACGACAGCGCAGCGACAAAGCGCCTCACGGCCGCCTCCTGCTGGGAGCACGGACAGGGGCGGGGCCGGGACCCCTCTAAGATGGCGGCGCCGCGCCCACGTGGTGTGCGCTGAGGCGAGGCGGCGGGGGAGCGGCCGGCGACATGGCGGCGGTGGAGGGCGTGGAGGGGGGCGAGAGGGAAGACGAGGACGAAGTGGAGGTCGGTTTGCGTGTTCTATCGGGCTCCTCCGTTTCTCGGGCAGCGTTAGGGGAAGGGGCGCCCCCTTGGGGCGTGTCTCTCCGGTGTGCGCCGCCGCCGCTGGGAAGGGCCGCGGGGCCGGGTGAGGAGGGCCGGGGTGACGTGGCTGCTGGGCCGGCCGTGGGTCGGGCGCGGGGCGACCGCGTGTCCGCTGCGTGCGGTGGGTCGCTGCCTGCGCAGTGGCCGCGTTCTGAAAGTTATGTCCCTGTGGCTGTTCTCGGTTAAGTTTTTTGGAAAACAGTGTTAGTGGAAAGCGCTTTTCCAGTACTAGGGGGCTTCTTGCCCCTCTCAAAGCAGCCGTTTCAAGCGGTGTTTGCTTAATTTAACCTCTCGTTCTGGTATGCCTTACCTTAGGTAGATACTTAACGTCTGGAAAATGTGTTTTGAAATGCATAACCGGTCACATTGTTATGGCTCGCAGCACTTTCCCCACGTTGATTCTCATTTTTCCAAAGTAAATGGCTTTTCAGGGGTGAAGAATGATCTCTCTTCCTAGCTAGGAAGAAGATCAGGCAGGCCAGGTGTAAAGCAGGTGTCTGATGGAGGGTGGGGAGCAGCATTCCCCTGGGTGTTCTCATGTCTGCCGTTTCCTGTGGGCCAGATGCAGAATAAGCTGTTCTAGGGTCTGCTAATGCTGAATGTCTGTGTCTCTGTGTTTTTTTCTAGAGTTCACCTATTACTATTTCATTAGTAATAGGTGCATGTTATAACTTATCTTATAGGAGCAGCTGGTGATGGTGGAGCTCTCAGGAATTATTGATTCAGACTTCTTAGAAAAATGCGAAAACAAATGCAAGATTTTGGTGAGTGATTACAGCACAATAGGAAAGGGGTAAGTGAGTACACATGTCAACAGCAGAGCAGGGCTGTTTCCAAATGCCTTGAAGTCAATGAAATGTAGATAAAATCTTTGGTAGAGAGTTGCATGACTTTTCTTGGCTACACTTGACTGTGGGTTGTGGTCATTCTATCGGAAGTAGCATGTTGTTCCTGAAATTAGGAAATACTTTCAGAAGTATATTTCACACTGGAACAGGTTGCCCAAGGAGGCTGTGGATGCCCCATCCTTGGAGGCATTCAAGGCCAGGCTGGATGTGGCTCTGGGCAGCTTGGGCTAGTGGTTGGTGACCCTGCGCATAGCAGGGGGGTTGAAACTAGGTGATCGTTGTGGTTCCTTTCAACCCAGGCCTTTCGTTCTGTGAAGTATGTATACATTTTTATTATCCCTTCTGTTTTTAAGATCTTAGTTGAGTTTTTAAAATCGTGTATCTTAGCACACTTAAATAAACGTGAAGTACATTTCTTTAAATAACTTGGACGCAGCACAGGCTGCGTGTTCCTGCATTGCACTGTGTTCTTGCAGGTGTTGTCTGGCTAGTTCTGTTACTGTGAATGTAAAGGATAACCAGACCTTTATATTATACATTGCCAGCCACAAAGATGGAAGCAAACATTCAGAGTGTGCAATTGGTCAGACTGTGTGAGGTGGTAGAGTCAGTTCTGAAAATCTTGAAAAAGGAAATGCAGTCCAAATTCATAAATTATCCATTTCATAAGCACACTGGCTTCTTGGGTCTGACCTAATTCTCTTGAAATGCATTACAGTGATGTTTGATTATTGGTCATTGAATGAGTGTGTGCTTTTCAACAGTGTCAATGGGGTGCTTATAAATATTGAGCTTTGAAATTCTCTTGCAGTGCTGTTAGGATAGTTTAAGTATCTGCATGATATACTTCTCATACCCAGTCTACCTGGTCTCATTCACAACATGAGCGTTCCTTGAGACTGTTGATATCATATAATAGGAAAACTTACAAGATTTACTAAAGCTACAGATTCTGCATTGTGTTGTGCTCAACACACTCTGGTTGTACATTAAGAAGTGGACTCTTAACATGTACTTTTTTTTTTCTGTTTCTTTGTAGGGAATAGAGACAGAGAGACCCATTTTGCAAGTGGACAGATATGTCTTTGCAGGAGATTATGAAGGTAGGAAAAATAAAAGAATCTTTCCTTTTTCACATTACCCAAAGAACTTTCTTAACATTAGTCTTGTTTATCACTGCTAGTGGACAGTATGAGACAATGAAGAACTGAAGATCTTGATGGTGTCTGTATAATAATAGAGAGCAACACCATCTAAATTTGCCACACATCCATATTTATTTACTGGAAAATATGCCTGGACTTGATTCTGGAGTGTACCACCTGTTATTTCTGAAGGGAAAAAATATGGGGTATAAGATGTCCTGGAGTAAGTGCTTGCAGTCTCCTATATAAGCAGGACTGACATGCTATGCAAACTGTGGCTTCTATTTGCTGTGTGGTGACATAACTAGGAAGAAAATGATCTGAAACCCACTACTGTACATTCAGTAACAGTGATGCTGCTATCTGTTTCTGACTTGGCAAGTGGTTAACAAGGGCTGGGCCTTTGGGTGAGGCTGGAAATAAGCATTTCCAGAGTTGTGACAGTGAATGCAGTATCTATGGCCATTAGAAATTAGTGTCTAAGGTTATTTCACTTTTTCTTTAGATGCCCTGGGAACCTGCGTGTTTTTTGAGGAAAACACAGAGCATGGTAATGGTAACAATTTGACGTCCTGTTTATTATTAAAGCCTGTGAGATTGAGAATGGTCTGGGTTGAAAAGGACCACAATGATCATCTAGTTTCAACCCCTTGCTATGTGCAGGGTCACCAACCACCAGACCACCACTGCCCAGAGCCACATCCAGCCTGGCCTTGAATGCCTCCAAGGATGGGGCATCCACAGCCTCCTTGGGCAACCTGTGCCAGTGCGTCACCACCCTGTGTGTGGAAAAACTTCCTCTTAATATCAACCTAAACCTCCCCTGTCTCAGTTTAAGACCATTCCCCTTTGTCCTATCACTATCCACCCTTGTAAACAGCCATTCCTCTTCCTATTTATATGCTCCCTTCAAGTACCGGAAGGCCACAATGAGGAGCCTTCTCTTCTCCAAGCTAAACAAGCCCAGTTCCCTCAACCTTTCCTCATAGGAGAGCTGCTCCAGAATCATCTTAGCGCCCTCCTCTGGACCCATTCCAATAATCTTAGTCTTGTTTCAGCCGATAGTGGAATTCACTATAATGATTGTCTTTTGGGTATTGTTTTTCCTCCTCTCTTCATAGTAGATGCTGAAGGCAACCAAAAACTACAGCTGAAGTACAAGTGCCATACGATGAAGAAGTTGAACATGACACGGACGCTTTTGACGGAGAAGAAGGAAGGAGAAGAGAGCATTGGTCAGTGCCCCTGCTCTAATGCTTAGGGTCATTGATGGGTTATACTATGAGTGACAGCTTTGTGTTGAGTGTTTGATTCAAGAATGCAGAAATTAGTGGAGCTTCCTTCTTTAGCCAACAAATATATACTTTAAAAAACAAACAAACAAAAAAAAACCAACCAAAGCAGATTCCTTTTGCTCAGAGTTGCCTCCAGTATGCCAGTAGGAGATTCCTGCAGAAGGATGTAAGCACTGGTCAAATATATGCTGATATTCCCTGGTATGCTTGTCTGTCATATAAAAGTTTTGGCACTTGTTCTGAAATCTGAGGCAATACTTTTATATTTAATAGTTCATCATTGATTTTTATTTCTGTCACCTTATCGTTTTTTGAATCTATGTAAAATTAGGAAATCTATAATGTCCTTGGTAAGAAGTTCCATCTTTTATATACTAAATTGTTCTTATGTAGTATATAGTTAATTGAACTTAACTTACTTATAGGCATATACCTAGCAGACCATACCCTTTTTATTTTTTTTTTCATTCTGTAGGCAGGACTCTGCTTATACGTTTGCTTTATTTCAGTGTTATTTTTTTTAATACCAAAGTCTGTGCAGTATTCACATACTGGGTGCCCCCCCTACATGTAGTAGTAATGTTCATTAACAACATCCTATTGCTTTTAGCTACCTCTTCTCTCTCATTTTAAGAATATGTAGCTGTTAAGTATTAAATGTGGGTAGATGGCAAGATGTTGCTTGTAGGATGTATAATGTTAAATGTTATCTAGAATGGAACCACAAGTCAGCAGTCTTACCAACATCATGCATTTCTCCTCTTTATATAACTATGTAATACTAACAAAAACTATTAACTTTAAAGTGCCATAAACTAGAGAATGTGTTGCTTTATAAGAAGGCCCTTTTTTTTTTTTTTTTCCACAGGAAGCAATGATACTTGCTGCCAAATACTCTTTCTGTACTCTGACAGAAGCTTAATCTTGTGTATACAAAGTAATTAAAACATCTTGTGACTTGGCATTATGTTCTACCTAAAAGTTTATTGAAGTGGGAGAGGAATTCCAGTTCCACTTGGAGTCTGTTGGATATATATAATATATATATATTATATATAAATATGGATGTATATATATTTTATATATAGCCAAGAGCTTGATACACTTGAGTTCAGGAGATGACACCTTCATACGCTCTCTCTGATTTCATTCTTTGTTGCAACACTAGATGTTCTCAGATTGATGTGAACATATTCACTTCATTGCATTTTTAACTTGTGTTATCAGTATAGCATATTTTTCTATCTCAGCGTTATGACATTCCTGTTTTTCACTACTGTCTTAATTACCTTCCTTGGGACTGCTCTCTAGATGCTGAGCTGATGACTTCAATGAACTACACAGAGTTATTCAAGTACCCATTTTTTTTTCTTGACTGAAAACAGCTAAAAACCTGTTGCTATATAGCATGTCTTGTAAGTTTGTATGTCTAGTGGGTTTAGTCTACACGTTGTTAATTTTTTAACAACTAAGTTTCACTTGATTTTAAATAGACCTTTCTGTTATTCATAGCCCTACTTCTCGAGGAAAATGAATGGTATCAATTCAAGGAGAGACTCAGTGCAGAAACTAACATTGATCCGAATTTTTGAAAGATGTCTTTATATCCTAAATGGTTCTTTTACTTAAAAGTTGGCTTGGCCAAATGCTGAGCCAAAAGCTTGGCTCAGCATTGATAATCTGTGAACGGATGAATTTTTTTTCCTAGTTTAACTCCTTTTCTCACTAATGCTGATTTTCCTTCTTTGCATCAGGTGGTGTGGAGTGGTTACAGATCAAGGACAGAGACTTTTCCTACAGCAGGCCGAATACGATTTGTAGCTTTCTGCACGAACAGGAAGATTCTGAGGAGTCAGCTCAGGCTCGAGATAAATTAACTGAGGAGGCAGAGGGGGAGCTGAGCGACAGAGGAAATTCTGACATGAACTGTGATCTGCAGAAGCCGCATGGCTTGGAAGCAGATGCTGCTTCTGTCCCTCTGCCTGACAGCTCTGCTTCTGAGGCAGAGGATTCTCCTTCTGGAAGCGCTGCCTTAGATGATGCTGCACCTCCCTGATACCAGTTCTTGTCTCTTCAGAATCTCTTCATTGAATTAATGGGCCAATGACACGTTTTTTATTTTACCTGAGCAGTTTGTAGAGGGAAAAGCTGGCGTTGTGTTCTTATGCATTCCTTTCGTGTTTGGATTGTGCAGGGGAGATGTTTAGTGGTTTTTGAATTCGTTTTTGATGCTGTTTAGTGTTTTTATTTGTTTTCTGACGCTGATTGGAAATGTGTGCATCTCTACCTCAAAACTGAAGAAATAAAAACCTACCTTTGAAAAATATGGATGTGTTGTATATCTTGGAAAAAAAAAAAATCATGGTTTAAACGGGATGCCCCGATGCTTTGAGCTGTGGCTTCCCCTTGTGTCGTGCTCAGCTGGGCTGCTCTGCCCACACACTGCAGTGACAGAACTGACACCTGCCGGGCCGAAGGTCCCTAACGCCGCTCAGCCGTTCGCAAGCTGAGCCACGTGACTCCGGCGTGGCGCCCAGTTTCAAAGCGACACCTTCCACCCGCCACGGGTTGCAGCCGGAAACGTCGCGGCTCGAGTTGCGTCACGTGCTTTGGTCGTACTCCCCGCGCATGCGTACTGCGGCGGCCCGGCTCCTCGCTCCGCCCTGAATGCCGGATGTGACGCACCGGAAGCTGCGCGTGGGGCTGCCATGGACGCGCTGGAGCGGGTGGTGTGAGTGGGGGGAGTGCGGCGTTCGGGCTGCGGGAGTGAGGGTGGGACGGGGGGACCTAGCGGGCAGAGGAGGAAGGCTGGCGTCTTGCTTCAGCCGCGGCGTTTTTCATTTGTATGAGCTCCGTGCGCCTCGTGTAGCGCTGCTCCTCTTAAGTAGGTGTGTTTTTAGCTGTGCATTTGTTGTTGCAGAAAGCCCAAAACCAAGAGAGCGAAAAGGTTTCTTGAGAAGAGAGAGCCCAAACTTACAGAAAACACGAAAAATGCTATGCTCATAAAAGGAGGAAATGCAAACTCAACGGTGACCGAAGTGCTTAAAGACATTGTAAGTCATCACCTACCCATCCAGTGATATGTATTTATTTTCCTTTCTCCTTGACAGAAATCTTGAGTTATTCTCATTATTTTTTTTTTTCTATATGTAAAGATATACTGGACCTTGTATCACTTTCTACAAGGAGAAGTGTTGCAAGCACATTTGAAAACAAGAGGGTGAGGTGCAGGGTTGGGGCTGGGCCATGCAGCTGAAAGCCCATCCAAGTCTCATAGGCTGCTTGTGTGTATTGATGCCAAGTGTTCAGCCTCTCCCAAAACATAAACTTGCCCATCCTGTCTCAGTACCTGAAAACGTAGTTACACGTAGTAGCTGTTCTTGTGCTGTTTTCTCACTACACTTTGTCATTTCATTGCTATCTTCTGCTGACAATATTCAGATGGCCGTTCATTCACTGTTTTTTGGTTTTTGGTGTTTTTTTTCCCCCCCCTCAGGCAAATAGGCTCATATAACATGGCTTTGATTTCTTAGTTTGTTTTTTACTTTCTAGAAATACATAGTCAGCATTGCCACAGTGAAGGGTTTTATTGTGAGCAGGCTTCTAGAGGTGACTTATTTTCTAGATTGGTTTGCACAAACAATTATACTATTTATTGTGCTCCTATAAGTTGCAGAGTTTAAGGAAAAGCAGTGCTGTGCATTTAGATGTGTTTGATGTAACACATTTAACTTTGTCTCTTGCAGTATGCTCTGAAGAAGCCTTTTGCAGTGATGTATAAAAAGTAAGTGGCCATGTACAATGCAGCATTTGTTAATTTCTAAGCATGAACAGAGATGCTGGTTAGCATGGGGGCTTGAACAACGCAAGGGGTTACAGAAGGTGGTTGAGACTCATCTTAAGTTTTAAATAGACTGGAAACCAACAGGACGTGGTCAGTGTTGATGTAGAGCCATTGTTGATGCAGTTCTGTGGCAGACGTTAACAGAGCAGGATTCAACAGACTTGGACAATTGGCTTCCACAGTTCTGATCTGTGTAAACAGCTAGCAAGGTTCTGTGTCAGGTAGGTAGGCTGCTTATAATGATTGTTGGGCTCCAAGAGACTGGAATCTTGGAAAAGTTTACTTAAAATGGCAGTGGCAGCACTGAAGAACACCTGGCAGTATAAATATAGCCTACATTTTGAACTAAAACTGAACTTTTTGTGCTGCAGTTTGCAGCAGAATCCAGAATCTTAATGTTATCAGAAAAAGAACTGAAGTGCTTATCTCAGATTTTACAACTTTTTTTTATCCCCACCCCCAACCCCTTCCTCACTTCCTGTCAGGAAAAATATTACCAGGCCTTTTGAGGACCAGACATCATTGGTAAGTATAGACCATATCTTTTCTTATGAGATCTTGCAGCTGTGAAATCACAAATGTTACTGGAGGGTGATTTTCTGTTAGACTATCGGAAGTTTGATGAAAAATAAGTCTGTAATGAATCTGGGTAAGCTGAATGTAGAATTGCATCTACATTTATGGTATCAGCAGGCATTTTATTCTTCCATCTGCAATCCTAATGTGAGGATGTTGTTTTTACCTTAACTACTTGTTTTTCTAAACTGACAGGCAAAATTAGGAATGCGTAACACTATTATAAGTAACAGTGCTCAATGCAAAAGGAAGAATGAAGAGTTTTATTTTGGTTTCTTAGCAGTTCACTTGAATTGCTGAAACATCTGTCATAAAATCAGTATATTCAACAAAACAGGAATGGTGGTGATGTATGGTTGTGGTTCTGCGTTAAAGACAGAAATGAGTTATCTCAAAATATGATCAATGGGAACCAAACAACTTGATTCAATAGTTTGCCCTGTGTTACAGCTGGCTCATGTATAGGAAATAAGGATCAGCATTCCAGCATGCGGGGCAGTTGTTAAAACAAGTCACTGAAAATGCACACTGAAGTTGGGAGTTGGGGGCTACAGTAGTAAGTAAATGTGTGTATGAAATAAAAAAATCATGTAGATGTGCCAGGCAAAAGCTTTTTTTCTTAGTGGAACACGAAACTGCAGGCAGCAGGAAAAATGTGCAACGTTATTAACTGAAAATTACAGGCACATAGCTGGATGATTTAGCTCACAACCATATAGAAACTAGCTATATTAATTCTAGGAAAACATGGCAGCTAAAAACATTCTGATGCTTCTGGTCCTACAGGAAACTTGCATTCTCATACCCTAAAATATACAACAGAGCTGGTCATCAATAAGTGTGTCAGTGAACAATCAGAGAGATACAGAAAATCAGGGTTTTTTTTTCTTTTGAACTTGATTACCTATATAATTTAAAAGTCAATTTAGTGGTGTATGAGATGTTACAGTATAAATGGGACACATCTTAGGCCTTTGAGTTTGTTGCATCTCTTTAATGAAATACCATGCAGCTGTTAAAAATATTTACAGGTGTCAAAGTGAGGTAATGAAGAGCTGTGTGCACAAGTTTCAAGGGGAGTCCCCTGGAAGTCTGTTCTTCATCTGTCTTCAGTCAGTACTTTTCTGGGACCTGGAGACAGAGCTCAGTGCTAAAGTGTGATTTGTGAATGCAGTTCACCCAGGCAGGGAGGTGTCTTTTCTGACCTCCCAGAAATGAAGAGCTGCAGGCAGGGCAGAGTGTTCTTATGAGCCTTTTAACTGCTGCTGTTGCTGGGAGGAGATGCGGCAGGATCTTCTGCTTCACGGCTGCTAGGTGTGGGTATAGAAACACTGGTGCTTTTCTGATAAATGCAGTTTTTAGAAGCAGATTGTATACCAAATATTTTAAATGCTTACAAAGTGAAACTCATGATTTATCATTTTTTCTCTTTCCCAATTGTAGGAATTCTTTTCCAAGAAATCAGATTGTTCTTTGTTTCTGTTTGGCTCTCATAACAAGAAGCGACCCAATAACCTGATAGTAGGTAATGCGTCTGTCTTGGGTTGCTATTTGGATAGAAAGTCTAGCTTTCAATAGATATTTAAGTGTTGTCTTCTATTTGGTGTGGTTTTCCTTTTCTTTTGCAGGCCGCATGTTTGATTACCATGTGCTGGACATGATTGAGCTAGGCATTGAGAACTTTGTATCCCTGAAAGACATCAAGGTAAGGAGTTGATACAGACTTTCAGTGACATCTACTGGTGGGTTTTGTCGGTGCATTCACATTTTCTGCATCTTAAAGACCAGAAGCTTTTTTTAAGATCACACTGTACTTGAGTATTGCTAGTTTGTATTTCCATACAGTGTTACTTTTATGTGCTTCTTTTTCTTTGGTTTGCATATGTCAAGCTTGCTGTTAGCTTCCTACAACTTTATTTACAAATTCATTTTTTCAGACTTGTTTTATTCCCATTTTTTTATTTTTAATTAGTTGCATGTATACAATTCTTTACTCAGATTCTGTTCATGGGAGGTTTCTGCATAAATCAGCATTTTTTAAGCCTCAATCACATTAAAAATCAGATGATGATTCAGCCGCCAACAAATACTGCTCTGGATAGCAGTGCTTACAACTTTCCCACCCCAGTTACATTTTTAGTGCTATGCAGCTAATCCTTTTGAAGAATTAATGTAATAGATGATGAACCAGTGGCAGAGGGGAGAGGTTATTCTCCAGCTGAATTATTTTCATCAACACAGCCAACTGTGTTGGTGTGAAGATGTCTTGAAGGTGGACAATTTATCAAAATTGTACCAAATACTTCAAATGCTGCAAAAATAAGGAAAGGTTATGGTCCTTGCTTTCACTAGTTTGTTGCAGGGCTGTCCAGATGTATAGCGAAAAAAATTCACTTTTTAAAATGTGAACCTTTCCCTTGAAGTCAGATTGTTTGTAGTGTTTATGGTGGGGAAGTTATAGTCAAGTGATTGTGTATGTTGGTCAAAATTAGAATTTGGTGGTTTACTATTCTTTTGGCTTTTTTCATGTACTCTCCAGTGTCAAAGTACAGCAAATCTGTAAACCTTTAGTTTTTTTTGTTCATAGTTGTGGTCAAATTAACATTTGTTTTCACTGCAAGGGGTTGTTTTGCATGTTTTATAATAAAGAATATGTTTTTAAAAGCTGGTAATACAATTCATTTGTTTAGAAACACATCTTTCCATATGCATATTGCAAGAAAAGAAGTGTCTGTTCTGTCTAGAGATTACAGATTACTAGAGATTACATTTTTCATTCAGTGTTGAATGGATAACCAGCCATTAATACAATAATAAGTTCCCTAATACAGTCTGAATTTTTGTTGTTTTAAAATTCTTATCCCACAGAACAACAAATGTCCTGAAGGAACAAAACCTATGTTGATATTTGCTGGTGACGCGTTTGATTTAAATGAAGAATACAGGAGACTGAAGAGCCTTCTTATTGGTCAGTGTATTATTATTGGAGCAGTGGGATCTCATAAATCTGTGGCAATGTGATGTATTGGGAAACGATGGCTTGTCAGTAACTGTTTGCTCCTGTTTGACACAGAAGGAAACCAGGAGGGGAGGCACTTGTAAATTTCACGTGGCATGAAATTAGAGTTAAGTAATCATCATGACTGATGAAGAACACTAGCCTAAAAGACCCCAAAGTTGAAAATGTATGCTCACTAGTATTCACACTGTTGATTGCGTGGGGAATTTTGGCATTTTTCAAAAAAGTATTTACCTTGTAATTACACTGCTACATTACTTTCCTGACAAAATGAATATCTAATTTTGAATCAGTGGATTAATTTCATTAAGTGGGATGTTTTTGTGTACAGAAAATGTTGATATAATTGAGCCTGTGTTTCTTTTATGAAAGCATTTTCTGTTGGAAATTTGGCCAGTTCTCACAAAAGTGCCATTGATCTGAGTATTTGGAATGAATACGTGCATTAAAAACTAGCTGTAAATAATAGCTGTGCCATAACATCCAGGCAGGCTGAGATCTTAATGAACGAAATCACTTTAAGTGTTTTATTCTACCTCAAGGTTGGAAGCATCAGAAGTTAAAAGAAGCACGCTTTAACTTCTGACTTTAACTGAGGAGCTACAAAAAATAATACAACTAGGATAACTTCCTAGGACTTACAGGTTGTATGGTGCAGTGTCTCCTCACACTTCAAAGAAAAAAAACAAAAGGATTGCTAGAGTGGTAGGTTTTGTATGCTTCATAATAGCTTTCTTAACAGTATATTGCTTCTGTAAGCTTAAGTAGAAGTGAAACTGGGCTGAGAAGAGCAGGCGTGTTCTTCCAGTTCCATTCTTGGGTTGTATTGTTTCATAATCTTGCATCTTTGTAAAATCTTCCTTTCATGTAAATAATGGTTGGACTCCTTTTTCTAGGGAAACAGACAGAACCATTGCTCTTTAGAATTTGACCTTAGAGGATTTTTTTCCCACTTGCTCTTTTGATTCCTTAAAGCAAGATGTTTCATCTACAATGAGACTAAAAGGGAGCAGAAGAGAACACTTCCATCCTTTCAATACAGCTGAGTGGTCCTCGGGCATATGAAAGACTAGTACTGTGCTCATGGACCTTTGAAGTTGGGTGACCGTTGAACATGAAGATTAAAGAGTTTAAATAATGCATATTTGTGTCACTGTAAACGAGTATTTACATTGCAGGATGTACCCACTTTGTTTTCTAAGATGTGTGTTCCAACATCTGCACAGTGTTGGTCATTTGCATCCAGGTGTGTTCATCTACCCCATTATCAAGCAACTTGATATTTTAAATAGAAAGCATGCATCATTAGATAGTTGCCAAATAACTGGCAAGTCTTTCCTGTCCTCTTTTTTTTTGATGTTTGCCTGTCATTTCTCCTATTAATTTGTGTGTATTAACTCTCTGTTGTCAACTGTACTCAAATACATTGAATGTGTTCCAAGTACTCCAGGTCCTAATGTTTTGTTGACTTCTGTGAGGAACCTAAATGCAAGACAATAGATAAAGGGGAAGGTTAAGTCATAATGAAGACTTGAAACTATCAGTAACAATTAAAATAATTTGGCTGATAATTTGACTGCTCTTAACTGATTGGATAGAACAGATTCATTCTGTTCCTGCACAAGATAGTGCTTTTAAGCTCAGACTTCATTTCTAAGAAAGAAAAATGCCTTTAACAACAGCAAGTAGTTCATTACTGTGTTAGATCTGCTGAAATCCCAGTGGGAATATTAGATAGCAAGCAACTTCTTGTAGCCCAAGCAGTGTGATGCTGGTGAACAACCAAGCTTTCATTGGCTTTTGTGTTACCAAGAGGGATTGTGTGTGTTAGGAGTTTCATCTTACAGCAGTTTCTTTGTAGAATTAAAAACCACGGGTGATTTACTGTCTTCATGTCAAGCAAACACTGTAGCCAGCTTAAAATGTGAAGTGCAAGAATTTATTTAGAAGATAAAAATGGCAGCTGCATTTTTTTTTTAGAAGCCTGGATGGCGAAGACATGGTGTTCTTTCTCTGTTTTCATTGTCTAGCAAGGTAGTAGGATAGGAATCCGTTTTCAGTGTAAGTTCTTGGAATGCAGTTCATGAAACTCTAATAGCTACTTATGCTTGCATTTATGAAATACTTCTTCCCTTAAATTGCTGCCTGCTGGCTAGTTTGCTGTTGCATACCACTTTGGTCCTAAAAATGGTTAGACATTACATGGCTTTCTTATACACTTTTAAACTGTTGATTTGTTGGAGACTACTACAGTTTTAGATTGGCTTGTTCTTTGTACTGCTTTCCTCACACAGACTTTTGACCATCTCAGGGATTTTGGGTTCCATCTAGTCAAGAAAGGGGATGGCTGGGAAAAAAGTCTGGGATGGAGTTTAAACTCCTCTAATGTTAATCATAGCTTCAAAGGTTACAGTATTGCCACCTTCTGGATATGAACTGATATAAGAAGTGTATAGGCTAATAGAATTCCTTAATTTTTTGGACTGTCTGAAAATTGGAGAGGTTTGTGCAGCTCTCTGCAAGAAAAAGTAAATTAGAAGTTCTGGAAACATGTTCAGGGAGAAAGAACTAGGACTGGAAAGAGAGGAGAAAGCAAGATTCTAGTCCAACCAAAGCAAGAGATGTAAATTAAAAAACATTAAAAATTTCAGCTCTTTGGGTGTACTGAAGTGTAAGATTTCTGCAGCTGTTGAACACTGCCAGGAAACAGAAATTCCTGACCACCTGCATTTGTTTGGAAGAGATCGTCCTGTGGGTAAAAGGATGTCTGATGCCACAGGAAAATGCAAAGAGAAGTGTTGCCAGTAAAAGTGCTGTAAATGTACACTTGTGAACCCACAGAGCATGAGTCAAAGGGAAAGGTACATGCAGAAAGTGAACAAAATATTTTATTTGCAACTTTTTCTCCATAACTACAAACTCAACCCAGGAGAGGAGGAGTGAGAGTATTTAACTGACCAAGAAAATTTCCTGGCTAGACTCCAACTGATACATGCCAGCAAGACTTTGTTTTGGATGCCATTCCAATGCTGATACTCTTGAAAAAGCTAGTGGAGGAAAAGGCAACTAGCTGAGGAACCTGAAATGAGACAGGAAGAGACTGATGTGTTTTGCATCTGTTAGCAGTTCTCCCATGTTTCAGCATTGCCCTGTTATGTTTATTAGCACACCTTGTTCCCTCAGTCAAGGTCACATTCTTTTTTCCACCCCTTGCATCTGTTGGACAGATTGCTGTGCTTATTTCAGGCACTGATTGCACAGTATTTTTCATGGTCTCATGTAAAATGCTGACTGAAGATGGCTTATTTTGTATTTAACTTGTCTTTCAGTGTTCTGTTTGCAAACTAAGCAAGTATTTCTAGTGTTTATTTTTTATAGGTGTGTTTTGCTTATTAAATAGAGGAAACATTAATTGTAATGACAAATATCTCTTACTCAAAGAACATAAGTGCTTTGTTGTGGGGGAGGCATGAAGGAATTTGCATACCAAAACCTTTCTTGCCCAAGTCACTGAGAGGGAAGGTAGATAAGATTAAACAGCATAGTTTTGTTCTGTTTTGTCCAAGTCTTTATCACTTCTTTATGTTCTTCCAAATCTGATTCTGATTAAGAGTCTTGAGTGCTGTCTTAAAAACGCATCTGAATTAATGGCTTCTCTCCACTGATCTCCTTAGCTGAATGTGAGTTGGCCTAAACATAAACAGTAAGATGCATTTAGTTTTAAGACTTTGTAGCTAAAAAATGTAGAGGGATAGACTATTCTGCTATCCTAACCAGGATGTTAAAACAGAATTACTGCTCTGAAAGGGTATTTGTTCTTGTCCAGGCACTTAGGTTTAGATCCCATATACGTATATTGCTTCTGAATTGTCTCTGGGAGGAGTTCCTCTCGAGATTCCTACAAGCACTTGGTTTCACAAACAGAGACCCTTTTTGATGCCATAAGAGAATTTTCAGAGACAAGGAGTTTGTATCGCTGCTATCATTTGGATCCATTATGAAATAAGCCAATTTGTTACAGTTATTTCCTGGCTTTGTTTTCAGTCAAGAAATAGGACACTTATTTTTAAATATTTTTTCAGATTTCTTCAGAGGTCCTACTGTGCCTAACATTCGTCTGGCTGGGTTAGAACACGTTCTGCATTTCACAGCTGTTGATGGGAAAATTTACATGAGAAGCTACAAGTGAGTGTGTATTCTATCTGTGTTTGCTCTTTAGGTACACTTGTCAAGCTTTTCAAATTTTAGCTTGTAATTCTGTAACTGAACTGCCTGGAGCTGTAACGAACTACATTTAAAACATGTACTGTGTAGAGGTATTCCACTTAACTCAGAGTAACTTGTATGGCAGAAGGAAAGCACTTAAGACCTGAATGTATTCATTTCTTCCTTGTTGAGCACTTCCTTCTAGCTAGGAGGATTGTTCTCTCCTGGTTGGACTGGTAAGATGTTGCAAATTAGACCTGGGGATGAATTTGAAGTACCTTTTCAGACTTCATAGAGACTTAGTGTGATGTTAGGCTGATTTCTAGGACTCTGTTGAAGAACAGCAGGCAGTATGCTGTACCAGAGGTACAGAAGGGAAAACAGGAACATGCAGGACGAGATAATCTTTCTTCCTGCACTGGCATTTGCTCTCACAGTTCATGGCCTTTCTTTTGTGGGCTATGAGTGCTGAAAGTGTGTGTACTCTGTGTGACTTTGATTTCTCTTGTAACAAAAAAAGCTGTCTACAGTCTCATTCTTCAACAAACATAAAACGGTACACACACAGCAGAACAACACAAAAAGAAAAGCAAATTTCTAGCCTGGGGCTCGCAGCGTTTTGCTATAAACTGTAGTATATGTTCTTCCCCTGTTTATTAATACACAGGACACTATTTTGAATTTATGGAATGGTGTGGCTTTTTAGGGTTGTATAATTGAATTCTAACAGTTGTAATGAGAGTACTAATCCCATTTAAAAAAAAAAAAAAACAAGCAAAACAGATCATATTTTGAGTGTATTCGTGTTGTGATGGAAGTTAATTATAAATTCTTATTGATAGACATCTTTCTCAATAATAGAATTAACAGTAGCAGTTGTTTGTAATGATCTTCCCAACTGCAAGATTGAAACTGCCCTTTAGGAAGGCAGATAAATATTTATCACAACGGACAATGTTGGTTGTTTTTGTTCTTCTCTTCTAGGGTGCTTCTGAAGAAATCTGGCTGTAAAATACCAAGAATTGAACTGGAAGATATAGGACCTTCATTAGATTTGGTTATGAGGAGAACACATTTAGCTTCAGATGACCTTTATAAGCTATCTTTAAAACAACCCAAAGCCCTAAAGGTAAATACCTTGGGATCATATGCATCCTTGGTTTCAGGCACTTGATTTGGTGGTTTACTGGTGATGATGATACAGGCAGATGTCTGGCTTCTCACCACAGCTACAGGCACACTCTGCTCAGAAATACTAATGGTGTTCTTCCCTTACAGCCTAAGAAGAAAAAGAACATCTCCCATGATGTGTTTGGTACCACTTATGGTCGAATCCACATGCAGAAACAAGATCTTAGTAAACTGCAGACAAGAAAAATGAAGGGGTTAAAAAAGAGACCAGCAGAGAAGTCAGTTGAAGATGGTGGTATTAGTCCTAAAAAGACAAAATCTGTGTGATAGTCTGGAATAACTTTGAGAACTATTTGTATCTTAATTTTTTTAATGTGAATTGTAATATAAAAGTGACAAACATAAAGATTCAGCTGCCTTTACCTTTAGTTTTATATTTAAAAAACAAAACAAAAATTTCTTTTATGATTTATCATTTCAAAGGGAACATTGAGTTATTGAGCTTTAGCTTAGAACCTGCTTATTTAGAAGGGAGGAAAAAAAAAAAACACAAGATGTAGCTTGTTTACTTTTCCAGAGCTGAATATTTATTCTCTTGATATGAGCAAACATGTGCTAGTTAAGCAGGTGACTCATTTCCCGAACAGTTTTATGGTTATAATGTTGGGAAACCTTGATCAGTCAACCTATCTTATAAATTCTTTGCAGGACCAGCATAGTGTGTACACATAATACATGCAACATGACTTCTGCATTCATTTACTGTTGATGTATTTCGGTTTATGCACTATTGCAATACTTAATAAACTCCAAACCATTTTCTAAAGTACGAACTCATAACCTGTCTAATGCCAGATTACTTTTAACTGTTGCACCAAGCCCTCCTTAACAGAATCAGAAGTGATTAAGGTGTTTTTGCTGTGTTCATCGCCATGGTAGCAAAGTACCTGATGTTTGCTTTAGGCATAAATGAAACCTTTACAGTTTGAATTTCAATCTTTGATGCTTGATTTGTGCCCAGAGTGGAAGAAGCAAAGGTAAGTTAGTATTTTTGCTGATCTTAACTATTTCTACCATGCTTCATTTTACACTATGTGAAGCAACCATGAAAGGTACAAGTCTCCTCTACAAGTCTCCTCTTACCTGTGTTTGTGAGCTGCTTCTCTCCAGGGTTTATACTTGTGAGCTGGGGAGGATTCTATAATTATTATAAATATGTGCACTTTACGTATACGATGAACACAACAGTGCTGCAAGTTTGCTCTTCAATACTTTCTTTTCCATTCAGTTCTCTTAAAGTTTCGTCAGATGAAGTGTCACATCAGAAGGAGATCGTTTGTTATTTTTACTTGTCTCCTCATTCCTGGATGGAAGCCCTTGGGCGGCTTTGCTGTTCTTGTGCAAGAGCTGAGCTGTAACTCTGGCTGTGCAAATGCCCTGTGGTTCTTGCTGCATTTGGTTTGATGAAACTTGCAGCATAACAAAGAAAGGGCTTTGAAAGTTTGGGGTCTTTTTGAGGTCCATTTAGCTAAGAAAAGCATACATCTTCAATGTTTTCCCTAAAAGTATTTTTCATTATTAGGCTCTGTTTTTTAATACAGATTGTTTTCAAGTTATGTTGCAGTCAGGGATTTAAATTTGTTCAGTTTCTGCTAAGTACTTTGTATTAGTCAAAGTGGTGCTGTCTTGGTGCAAAGTGGGCACTGTGAGTTTCTTAGTGTGCAAGGAGATGGTTGCTAGCTTGGCTTCATCCTGAGCTCACCTCATTTCTTTTGGAGAAGTTTCAGCCTTGCTGCAAAGCAACAGTTAAGCCATGAGACAGGTGGCAAATGTGATCTCTGTTCTACAGCATGTAAGATGGCACCTCTGCATGGCAGGCAATGCTGTGGTTTGAGTATCTGGTTTGACTCAAGGTAAGAGGAGATATGAGGGCTAAATATAACAACTTTATAGTTACATGTTCTTCTTTCTCACAGTCTTTTAAAGCGTGAGGAAACTTGTCAGATGCTGCACTATAGGTGTGTGCGTGGGGAACAAAACATGCTGTGCTCAAAGGGCAGCTGTCAAAAGGGGCCTCCCGCAATTGCCCCTTGTATCTGGAGCTCTATAGGTCTGAAAGCACATAAACATGGCCCACAGGGCTCTGTGGTGTGTGCAAGGCACAACTGCTATGTTCACTTCTTTCATCATCTCCTTACATTCCAGTGGTACATTGGAGATAGCTTTATTTATGGGTTGTAGAGATGAGTTTGATTTAGAGGAAAAGCTCCCCACTGGCAAGGCGTGCTTCCCAAGGCTGTACCTGCACAGCAGAATGGAGGTGGAGCTGCAGATGAGAAGTCATGCCCACGCTGTCTTGAGCTGAGCTGGCAGGAAGGCAGGGGCAGGGATTGGTGCCTTCTGCATCCCCATGGTTTGTGTGCTTACGTTGCACAGCTGTGCTGCTGGCACCTTCACTGCGATTGCTAATGAGGTTGCTCTGATTAAAGGTAATGATGCATTTATACAATTAGTTCTAACTGCATTACATTTTACTTGGCTCTTTTTGTACGGTATGATTTTAAAAAAGGTTGGAGGAGAGACAGGTAAATACTGAGTGATGCCATATGCTGGGCTCTTGGATTTCCCACATTTTTGGGAATTAGTCGCACATAGGTATCACAGTAATCACAGCCTCAATCTGTGTTAGTACAACGTGACAGAGTGAGCACTGAGGGGAATGAGCGGTGTCTGTCTGCAGCCAGCACGTGAACTTCTTTCTATTGCCCAGATTTTGTGGGTTTGAGTTTTATCTGGATGGTTCCTTAGCAACCTTATTTGTTTTCATCAAGTGCTTTCTGGGTTTGACTGTGATGGGTTTCCTTCCTCCACTAATATGGTTGTAGCTGGGGAGGGTTAGAAGAGAGCCTGAAGAGAGGGAAGTCAAACTCCAGCCATAGCTGGTACAGCGTTGACTGCTGTGTTGTCCAGCCAGCAAAAAAAAAAAAAAAAAAAGGCTGGGGACTGTTGCTTATTTCAGATGCCATCAAATTGAAGGAAACTAGAGCAGAATTGTTAGAGACATTTTCAGTATTAAAGAGAAGGAAGTGGGAAAATGTGAGCTATATGTAATAACATAGCCGTATGTAATGTATGTGAACATGTGTACTGCATGTGGTCCAAATAGTTCTCCTGTGTCTCCAGTGCAGCTTGTCTCCTCTTCAACACTGCCAAAATATCTCTAAGTAAGGCTGATACGTCCCTGAGAAACAGGAATTTGAGTGAGTTGCAGCGAAAGTCATGTTCCCTAAAATCTTAGAAGGATGATATAAGGCACCTGAATGTGAAGTCTGTGTAGGATTCCCTTCTAAACTGATGGATGTTCAAAGGAAACAATCTGACCGGTGCCTTAGAGGAAGAATAACTCTGCTGTCATGCATTTATGCACTGTAACAGGGAAGAACCAACAAAGGTGTTTTGAGATGGGCACAAGGTTTCTAAGAGACCTACATGAGGAGGCTGGGAATTGATACTTCAGAGATCACAGTAGGCAGGGGTGAGCTCAGTGCTCTCCGTGGACAAAGAAATAGATACGAGCACTGCAGAAGAGAAAACTTAAAGTAATTTGGGTTAAGTCTATTCTAAATAGCAAGGGAATCATCTACTTGGAGTAGTGAACATGGCAGATGTATGTTGATAAACTTCTAAGACAGCTGTTCATTGCTCTTTCTTTATGACTTTCCTATTCTGTCTATTCGATCTTCCCTGTCCTCTTCTCTAAGATAAGCACAAAGAAATCCAGGGGAAGTAGAGATAAGGTTTTAAGCAGAACTTAGTAGATGTATAATTAATGTCTTTTTCTCAGATTCTCATTATATTCTTTCTCCCTTGCTAATAGCATAATCCTTCCTGTTACGCAACACAACACCCAGAAAGTCTGAATTTCTCGCTCCTTCCATGAGAGTTACAAAAGCATTGCCCCTATGTGCCCTCTCTTCTGTTTTGATTGCTGCCATTTTCTCCCCTTGCCTCTCTTTGCTTACATCCTCCAAATTCAACTGGGCACAGCTGCAGGAACCTGTTCCCTACTGTCTGTTCAGATCAACTTTGTATTGTCCCAAAGTTGAGCTGCTTTTCTTTAGTTGCTCCTGATAATTGTTCTATTATTCCCTTCTTTCTCCTCTGTTATGTCATTGACATGCTAATGATTGGTTTCAGACATCTTCTGCATTCTGTACTGTTATTTGCTTAATTCCCTGTTTTCTTGATGTAGGGATTGAGATGCTTAGTGAGAGAGTCTGCACAAACTGAAACAAGGAATTAGGAGTCAAACTCCAAAGCCAGAGGTCAGGAGCCAGAGTCAAGGGCAGGAGGAAGAGCTGTCCTGTCCACCACTGTGTTAAAGATGTAGATCACACAAGGAAATCTGCAGGAAATGAATGCAGTACTTGAGGTGCAGCCTCACCAGAGCTAAGTACAGAGGGCAATTGCTTCCCTGCTCCTGCTGGCAACACTATTTCTGATACAAGTTAGGATGCCACTGGCCTTCTTGGCCACATGGACACACTGCTGGCTCATGTTCAGCTGAGCGTCGACCAACACCCCTAGGTCCATTTCTTCCACACTGTCTTCCAGACACTTTGCCCCAAGCCTGTAGCGTTGCTTGGGATTGTTGTAGCCAAATGTACTGAACAGGACAGGCCCCAGTATCATCCCTTGGGGAACACCACTCAAGACCAGTTGCTAGCTGAATTTAACTCCATTCATCACCACTCTCTGGGCCCAGCCATAGAGATGGCTCTTTGCCTGACAAAGAGTATATGCTGAATTATTCACATACAAAATGATGTAATGCAGTTTTAAATGTCTTTTCTTCTTTCCTGACATTGATGGCGTGGAGAAAGCAGCAAAATGAGTCTGTGCTTAGGACCAAGCTCAGTTCTAGGCATCTTCAGGTGCTGGCATTATTTCTCCCTTCATTAAATCTGTGAAATTAAATCATTAACATCTGCTGGGCTCTTGGCAGGAGAGTTACTGCTTTGTGCTCTGGAATTGTTGCTGCATTGGTGGTTATCTTTGTTAGCCATAGATGGGTGCTCTGGGGATGAACACTTGCTGTTACCAAAAGATAGTTCAGATGCCTCATCCCTCCCTGCTTGTTTTTCAGATAAAGATTTTACTCCTTTTACTAAGAGCAGGTTTCCTTATCTAAAAATGTCCAGGAGTAGATGTGTCTTCTCAGTTGTGAGTGCAAATTACTAATGTTTTTCTGAGCTCATTGGCTTAAAAATTCCTCTCTCATCTAGGGGCAGGTGAGGGAGGGAATGTGGAAGTAGGATGGAAGAGACAGGCAAAATGTCTCCTTGCTCTCATGTTGTCACACTTTTGCATGAGACAGAACCTATTCTCAATGCAACAAGGAAATATAAGCTCGTCAGCAGTATATATTTGTAACAAACTGCCACATGGCCAAGGAGAAGTTTAACTCCCTTGGTTCTCATGAGCAAAAAGAATTTGTATGTCCTGTATCAGGAAATTCATATTAAGATGACTTGCTGCAAAAACATACAAAAATAAATAAAAACTGCTATAAAGTATTAATAGGGCCCTCCAAAGTCCTTATGCAGCATACCAGTAAACACTAGTAAGCTTTTAATTCATAATAGGTCATAGTTTTCAGCTCCTGTTGACACACACTGCACACAGTACTAATACTTTGCACATTATCTTTATTTGAGCCAAATATTATGCTGGCTTTATTTTTTCAGAAAATAGGTCTGTTTGTAGGCTCTTCTTTTTTAAAAGCAGTAGATAATGCATAATGATATTTCTTAAAACAGCTGCAGAACAGCTGCACC